ATCAATTTTCCATTCAGCAGTTCATACACATTTTGTTTCATGTCATTGATTACCATGTAACATCATCCCTTCGTCCTTATGTGTCTTGTTTCCATTCCTAACCCTTCTGTACTTATCCTTGGGTAAATGTTACCCTTTTGATCATAAATGATTGATTGTTCTCAGGTGTGTTTTTGAGAACACACCTATAATTATTCCCAATATAGGCCTGTCTATGGAGCTCGGTGGTGTAGTGAATTACACATTAAACTACTAACCATAAGATTAATGATTTGAACCTACCAGCAACCTCATAGGAGAAAGATGAGACTGCCTATTCCTATAAGCATTTAAGGTCTTGTAAACCCAAAGAGGCAATTCTACTCTGTCCTGATTATAGTCCTATCTGATTATAGCCATTTCTGATTATAAGGCCTATCTATTATTTGGGTGAAAATTGAGCCGTGGGGGAGTTTTCCAGACCTGAAGGGCGACAAAGGGCCATAATCTCAAGAGTTTTACCACTTTCAGCCCAACCAGTAAACCTAGTCTTTTCCACATACATTCTCCCATGCTACCCAGGATTTTCTAATGTTTTCCCCTTCAGAGCAATTAGTAGTGGTAGCCAGGTACCATTTAGTTCTCTTGGTCTCAGTGTTGTGAAGACTGATGATTACTTACTTGTAGTCCATTCGACTGTTTCCATGCATCTACAATTTTCTTCTGCCCTCTTTCCCCCAGAGAGGCAGAGACCAATAAGGGGACCTTAGCCACTCACGAGCTTGCTACTTACCTAGGTAGAATATAGAACATTCACTTTGTGGGATATGTTAAGCTAATTGTTGTTGGTGTCCCCTGGGTCATTGTTCTGAGCTCTCTGGCCCAGCAACACATTCCCTCAAGGTATTGGGTTATGTTTAAGAAGTTTTTATAATTTTTTACCCTGGATGCTCTACCACATTCGTGGATATATTTGCAGCAAAAGTAAATATGAGGGAGCGCCCACATTTTATGTATATTGGCTTGTAACACCTGCTGACAGTCCTCTTGAGAGTCACATAAATCTGTATCACTTCTTTGTGGTTTTTGTAGAGCTTAAGAGAGTATGGCTTTTTTTTATTTTAACTTTTTTCTTTTTTGGTATTTCATAAATTGTGTTGTAAAGCAAAGAATTATTCTAAAAATCAAACCATTACTAAAATATGTAAAGGAAAAAGTAAATGCTCTCCTCCCACCCCCTCCCCTCGCACAAAAAAGCAGGGACTATTTGCAAACCAGTGTTCATCACGGGGTTATTCCCAATAGCCAAAAGGTAAAAACAATTGTGTCCATTAACAGATGCATCCATAATCAAAATGTTGTGTTCTGCATGCAGTGGAATAGTACTCAACCACAAAGAGAAATTCAGACCTTGAAAACATGCTTAGCTAATAAATAAGTCCATGCAAAAGTCCAAATATATGATCCCAATTATATGAAATAACTAAAATAGGGAAAAGCATACAGGTATAAGTTGGTTAGTAGTGACCAGGGATCAAGAGAAGCAGGAAATAAGGATTTATTGCTACTCCTTAGTTTCTGTTTGGGATTTTATACTTTTCAAAGTGGATAGTGCTGACGGTTACACAACATGGCAATGTCACTGAGTTGTGTACTTGGACATGATTAAAATGATGATCTTTTTGTTACATTTTTGAGTAATTTAAAATCTGTTTCCTGTTCTATAACTCAAACACCTGTCACACTCAACAGTCGTAATCATTGTTAACAACTTATTACTCATACTTCCAGATATTTTATATGTATATGTAAATATGGGGAACCCTAGTGCACAGTGGCTAAGTGCTAGGATGCTAATCAAAAGGTCAGCAGTTCAAACCCCCCAGCAGCTCCCAGGGACAGAAGACCTGATGATCTGCTCTCATGAACTTTGTAGCTTAGGAAACCCTCCAGGGAAGTTCTGCTCTGTCTTGAGGAGCTCACTGTCAGTTGGAGTCAACTCTTCAGCACACAAAAACAGTATGTTAAATATACATCTGTATATATGTGCATAAAAACGTGTGCTTTTTTTTCCACTGGAAAATGAAAAGAATGCTAAATGGGTTTTGGGGGTTTTTTTAGTTAGCACATTTTTATCCTACTATGAGATCATTTTTATTGTACTCAGTATCTAACTGAGCTTGCTTCCTGCAAAGGAAAGAAACAAATCAGCAGCATGATTAAGTTTATAATGTATTGCATTTCTGTAATTGTCCTTCAGAAATTTGAATTTATTG